AAATTAAAAAAGAAACTTAACCTTCCATCATTAGATATAACTGATAACACATTCAGCAGCTGCTTGAAGAATTTTTACATAAAAAATGTTAATTTGCAACTCCAGAACATTGAATTCTCCAAATGTGGTAAATTATTATTTTTCAGTCAAATTAGAAAGAATTATGAATTACAAGACTACTTAAAATATCCAATAAATAAAGCTATACGTTCTAAATTAACAAAACTGAGAATTTCTGCACATCCTTTGGAAATTGAAGTAGGCAGATATTCAAAGCCTTGTATCCCAAAAGAATCGCGTTTTTGTCACTATTGTAAAACTGTTGTAGAAAGTGAAATACAATTCATATATGACTGTCCCTTATACATAGATTTGCGAAAAAAAGTACTGTTCTTTGAACATCTGTAATTTAAACGATAACATATTGAAAGAAAATCATTGTAAAGTGTTATGTAATCCTGACAATGCAGTTCATTCTAGAAGGCTGTGTGAATTTTTATATGAATGTTTTGAATTGCATTCCAAAAATAAAGCACAATTATAATATATCTATTTAATGCATTTATTAGCTCATCACTGTCCATACTATACTACTTGCATAATGATTATGTTTAATCTTCAAGTTGTTATACTCTGCATTGTTGACTTCCAGGGCCGTAACTACCATTGAGGCAACGGAGGCAATTGCCTCCTCTAGATTTTCATTTTTTTTTTTATTTTTTTGGAAATAAGAAACACAACACAAGCAGCTGGATCAAAATTGATCATTTATTTGTTTGATTATAGCCACCTGAGCAATTTTTCAGCTATCCAGTGAGTGTCGTCATTACCTATGCTAGGCGTTCAGAGCCTTTGAGCAGAGAGGAATCTTTATCGTGCCACAGCTGTGACACAGGGCTTCGGTTAACTTTATGCGGTCTCATCCGAAGGACCAGTCCCCATGTCTCATAGCGAAATTCGAACTACGACGATCGATCATTTTAGAACTGCATTTAGTACAGTGAAAACTATTCAGAATGAATCGACGGGTACGATCTTCCCAGATACCCCTATTGACTTCAATAATTTTATCTTTTTCTTGGGAAAAGTCAGTTTCGTATTTATAATTGTTTATATTTATATTCAGAAGTTAAAATTCAATTGATGCATCAGATGAGTATTGTGAGTTAACGTTAGTTGGTTTGTTATTGATTGTTTTACGTCCCGCTCAAGAATTTTTCACTTATATGCCATAATGGAGACATAAAGTGGTAAGCATTCTCAAAATCAAGGAAATGGTCCAATATTGAGCCGTTTGAAGCAATTTTTTTGAGGGGGGCTTTGCCCCCCGCATCCCCGATCTTTGGCGGCCTTAATCGGCGGCCCCCAAACCCCCGCCTCCTCTATCTTTTACCCCTAGTTCCGGCCCTGACTTCACTGATCCATACACTTGCATGTATGTATTTTATTACTTGTCTTTTATATGTAACATGGTTGTATGCCAACATGTTTGGTGAATCAATAAAGAAATTGAAATTGAAATTGAATTTAATGGGGAGTGCCTATGGTTGTCATCTATCTATTGTTTTTCTTCAGATTTTTAGGCATAAAAATTTCAATAACATAAAAAGATAGTGGTGTCCAAACCTTTGACCCCCCTTTCAGTCTGGATGAGAGAGAAAAAATACATACCGGAATGTGTAGGGTTATTCCTACTCGGACTGGAATTTATTGAGCTTTAATATAGCTTCCGGTTTGTTTTAGCTACCTGTTCAACTTGATGGACTCGCCTCTAAATTTGGTATTCTTGTATTTCCTTTCTTCTTAGATTTTTTAAATCAATTTTTTCTGAATAGATAAAGTATCATCTGAACATGTTTATGATCTTCCATTTTGCATTATACAGTGAGTATTATGAGTTGAAAACGTGCCAATTTCTTGCGTTCTTGGGCCTTGGTTTATAATGACAAATATGTATCCTCGAGGAACCTATTTCGGTGGTATTAGCATAGACCTAAAACGAATAAATAATCTCTTAGAAAATCTTTTCAACACTGACAATGTTGTAATCCTGAATTAACACGATAACATAAATTACATATATCCAACTTTTTAAGAATACATAATTATGTAGATCATTCACGGGAACATCTAATCTCAATTTATTAAGTTGTTGATCTAAAAACTCTAAACGGCACAGGTGCTTGAGGACAGGACCCCCCCCCTCCCCCAATATAGACCCCCGGGCCTGTTAGACTTTTTCACATAAATATAGACCCCAGGGCCTGTTAGACTTTTTCACATAAATTATATACGGATGACACATTTGAGATATAATCTATTCTATCAATTCAGAAAATTTGATTAAACTAACCTTCTATAAAAATTTTACCCCACTCTCGTTGATTTTTATATAGAGTTTTGGGTAGATTCTAAAGAACGTTAGCTTCAGAACATTTTTCTAAGTTTTGGTATAGATCTTATCACAAATAAGTCAATGAAGGATTATTTATGAGAAAAAAGCCCAGGGGTCTATATCGAGAAAGGGGGAGGGGGTCCCGTCCTCAAGCACTTATGGTAAACAGCACTTCACAATGTATTTATTATTTATATTAATTCAGCGAAGATCTGAAATTGGTCGTTGTTCAAATATTGGTAGATAAATTGTGTCCTTATTTTGTAAAATAATTAAGAAGATAAACATGTACTACCGTAAAATATAATCGACAGCATTCAAGAGATGTCACGTCGTAGTCAGCTGATGTCTGCAGTTAAAACGTTTCCATCGACTCCATAGCGTAAAGTTATAACTTCCGAAGTAGTAAATCGAGATCATTTCGTCGAAGAAAGCTTAGATAAGTGATTGATTTTCCTAATTTGTTGTTATTTCCTCAAAGAATGCAGAAATCAGTGATGCGACAACATTGATTTCATTACAGGAAGTCTGTTTCTATACATCCCGGTGAGGGCGCTGCGAGCGCAAGAAGATAGTGATTGTGACGTCATAAGTCGGCAGTCCCTTCGTTTTAGGTCTATGGTATTAGCAAACTACGCGATAAAATAATCTTGACGGGAAAGATTAAAATAAAACAAATGTAACTAACCTCCGAAGGACTCTTTATTTAATCAAATTATTTCCATATTAGCTAATAAAAAAAAATCTATAATTTGTTTTTCTTGCGATTTCTTTTTTTCCTTGTTGTTTACGTAAGCAGAACTGTTGAGGTACCTAAATCGGTGGTATGGTACTTCTCAAAAGTTTTCACCCTAATAACACGAACCACGGGCATAAATTTAAGAACAACGAATATTAAATTGTATACATGAACAAAGGGATAAATAAGAATTTTATAAAAGTTTTATTTATCATTGTGACAGGGACATAAATAAATTCATCACCACATCTTATAACTTTCGTTGTGCAGCAAAACTGCAAGTGGATCCAGTGGTTACAATTTTCAAAGTTACACTGAGCCCACTCTACAAAAACAACTTATTTATTTATTTTTTATTCATTTTTTTGTATTTATTTATTTTACCAACATGAAATTATATAAACTTTTAATAGCTTTCTTTAGATTTCTGAACTAATTTCTATGTATTTGTTTACTAACAATTTACCAACAAGATTTATAAAAATATTCCCCCGGTATCAAAAACATATAACAGACACTAACTTTTGGACATCCTCTGTATTTCTATTCAATTATGCTAGCCACATGACAGTCACGTGACTTGAAAGCGCAGACGGTAAGCTGCGTCTACAGTATGTATTTCGATTAATTATTTCTTTTAAATCTATATTTAGAAGTCAATTACATTCAGATATTTTTAGCATTAAGAAAATATGGTATTTTTTGTTGATATGACAATATCAGCCATTTACTTACACTTTTCTCTGGCATTTCGGTTTTTTTTCACAGAGTCGTAAGCTTCTGTGATTACAAACACTACGCAAAAATCAATGACGTCAGATCTCGCACGGTAAGAAAACGTGCGTGCCCAATGGGAAATACCACCGATTTAGGAACCCCACTGATTTAGGACCTTTGACGATATTTATTTTTTTTACATATCAATAAGGTACATACATATTTATAAATCAAGACCCAGGTACCTGTGGTTATTTCATTGTATACATTGTAGGTATTGGGGTTTTTCGTCAATATCCATTAAATTCTCATTTAACCTTTATCTGATAATCATGTTTATGGTATTGCATGCAGTACTTACTAGGTACATTGTGATCTCATAAGATGTGGTAGGGGCTAAAAATTTTGTTCTGGTGTCTGATATCTCAGCCAAGTGTCACACAAACTAACTCTTGTATTCTTGCCCCCTGCCCACTTTGACTGCTTGTTTTCATCAATACGGGCTAAAATGATCGAATACGCAAGTTTTGAGATTATCTCACTTGGTGCCCTCTTTTGTTGAGGAGGGGAGTTTCATTGCTTCGTAAACAAACAGGTGGGACAGTTATTTATATGTTGCATATATCGCATCATCCATATACTTGTTTATCATAACTACATAATTGTAAAGATGTACTTTTCAACCGAGAATAACTGAATTAATGTAAAGGTGTCATTCTTTAAAGCCAAAAATTCGGAACAAAAAAGAAAATATCAGTGGAATGTGAGACTTTTCAGATATGGGAAGAGAGATATGGACTGCTAATAAATACAGTACACGTGCATCTGAACATTGCACATCAGAAATTTAAATGATTATTTTCCTAATTATAACTTCACAAAATCCACTAACGTTATAGAAAATGTCTGTACAATCAAGAAAATCTTTTATTTTTTATAGTTTTCAAGTACACTATAATTGAAAGTAGATTTGTATATATACACAGTTGAGCTTGATAAAATCACAAAATGCATCACTTCTTAACATTATTATCTTTCTATAACTTTAAATAATTTTTAAAAGCCATATGAGGAAAGGCCTGTAGCTAGTATGAATTATTCGAGGAATTCAACCTGGAAATAATGTTTTTGAATATATATTGTAGCTTGTGAACCAGACAATGTTGAGTAATAGGAGAGCGTATTCTGACCTGTACGTCAGATTAATGTCAGCAGATATAGAGAGAGAGAAGGCTCAGTACACAATCTGGAAGCGACGCGTGGAGGACTGGAGACAGCTCAACACAGATCTAGCCATCGAGCACTTCAGGTAGCTAATGTTATACTTCCTATCCTTCTCCCCCAACTAAGACAGTTTGGGGTATTTTGAAATCACCTTGTCCAACTGTTATACGATCTGAACAAATGCATCAAATTGATTTGTCACAATAAAAAAAATCAGGCTCTCTTATTTCCATCATCTCAAGTAACGGTTTGGAGTCTGCATATAGCTTTCTCCTACCCATGGCTGCTTGAATCTGTAAACTGTTTTTATCTTGAATATTTACGCCTCTATGCTAAGACGTCATGTTCAGCCAATGACAATAGTTGTTTCCATCTCAATTGAAATCAACAGTTGTCATCATCAGTAAGCAAAACATATTTTGTAAGCAGCAATTACATATAGAAAGGTCGCATCAGAGTTTATTTTCTGACTATGCTTTACTCAAATTGGTCAATATTTTAGTGAGCTACAAAATAACTTCTTATTCAACCACAGCCAGAATGGGACGTTTTACTTTTATGACAGAAATAAGTCAGTGAAAACTGTCTAATCTGACACCTGTGTAATCCGTCACACTGTATATTCTGACCTAAAATTTCTTTCCCATTTTACTAATTTTAATATTATTTAACACTTTGCAATTCGGCACAGTCTATTCTGACACAAAATTCGTCTCCCAAGATATGTCGGATTAGACAGGTTTCATTGTTTAATAAATTATTCTCGTGATGTATTACTTCAATGATAAACTTTACTTTTAGTTTTTGCTCTTATTACTATTATATTTTTCTCTTTTGTAGTAACTTTATGCAAGAAGAAAAGATTATCACCCCTCCAGGAGTGACAAAAGTCTTCAACTTTATGATAGCTGAACAAGAACTGATCAATAAGAGAAGATTAGAAGTTATCACACAGCTTTGGTATGGCCGATTTCATAATAATAAAAATTTCATGAGAGACGTAAAAAAAAATCTTTAATTTTTATGGTACATGTATTTATGATTTGTTTCATATTTCAGTGATCTAAAGCCCCCAGCCTCCACAAAAACAGCTGTTTACCAGTGGGATAAAACAATAAAAAATCTCACCAAGGAAATAGGTCAGTGTCAAGTTGTCAACTTCATCAAAATCAAAATTTAATTTTCATTGAAATGATCATAGCAAAATTGGATATAAACAAATTTAATGCACTATTTTAGGAAGACCACATACAGTGATACTTCCAGTGAAATCAAAATTTTACATAAGCATTTCTTTTAACAGATTCTGTGAACCAGCTGCATTTGTCCAAACTTCATGCTGAATATGAGAAAGTTTGTCAGGATTGTTTAGAGAAAATCGAATTCATTAAGGTAAGTTTTGAGATGCTTAGTAGACTTCAAATCACTTTGTCACATTCTTTGAGGAAGATACAAGAGTCTTAACATGAACTACATGTATGTAACACAGGAACACTTATGATGACAAGTTTACCGGTATTTTGATTTAATAGAAATCTCTGATTGATGACGGGATTTGTGCCCCTCCCCGAGCCCAGCAGGTGGTGGATCAGAACATGCTCCCCCTGGTGGGAGAGAGACAGAGGGTGTTTGAGAACAACTTAGAAACAATGGAGGTTAGTTCATATGTACTTAGACATCATAAAGCAGTTGAATAGTGAAATAGAAAGATAACACCTTTATTTTAATTTTTTTTTATCCATACATGTATTACAGAAATAAGAATTGACTTACCAATAATGAACATGTGATATTTTGTCGTCACATAAATTCCAAAGAACTACATCAGAAGCCATTCTAAGGGCCATGCAACATGATAATTTTGACATTGTAGAGAAAGTTTGGAAATTCAGAATAGAAGATTTAATGTCCAGTTTTGTTTTGTAGAAAGACCTAGAGAAATACATGAAGGAGACAACAGAGAGACTTAAGATGTTGTTTAAGTTTGCTCAGGGAGCTGCCCATGTTTGGGATGTTCATGAGATTGGACTCGCAAAACAGGAGCGAGCATTGCAGGAAAAACTGGAGCAATGTCGGCAGATGCATGACAACCAAAACCAGGTAAGAACTGCGAACGATAGTATTGTTCTCCCGCCTACCTTCAAGTCAATTTTCAAAAGTTAACATATTCGAGGAATTTTTAATATTTTTTATAGATTTTTATATGGATTTTCATAAAACATTACCCACTTGGGAAAACAAAGAGAGATAACTCTAAAATTTTGGTAAAACTTGTGTTTTTCACTATAGAAATCAATGGAAAACGGAAAATATTTTTAAAACATCTTTACCCCCAGTGTCACAACTTTTAAACAAAGATTTTATGGCCAAATTGCTATTCACATTGAATTAAATGGTTCCAAAATGTAGGCGGGAATCGAGAGTTAGCGTGCGTGTTTCTTTGTTATCAATTGCAAGATTCTAAAAGTAAAGAACAGAAATGCCATTGACAAAGTTTTTCAAAGGTCAGAATACAAGTTTACAATAGATACCAGTGAAAAAAAACCAAGAGACAAGAATATCTTCTCTGTTCATCTCTTCACCAGCCTGGCCAACCAAGATTATATAGTACAAGGTCATTGTCATTAAAGGACAGCTTGAAAATCTCTATTCTTTTGCAGCATTATCTTTGCTAAAGAATAAAAGTGGAATTATTGCTTTATTTCTGTGTTCTGATCAGGTGCTTAACCTCATGGATGTCTTGGTTGTTGTTTTTTATCTTGAGTGGACAAGGTCTCTGAACTGCATTTGAAACCACTAATTTTTCTAGTGAAATTTATGATTTTACTTATATTTTTTTAAAAATATGTTTAGATTCAGATGACTTTGCTTTAAAAATAATTTTGTATTTTTCGCTATCAAAATGCTTTGAGTAGCTCACTCCATTAATGGAAATAGTGATGAGGTCAAGATTATTGATGTGAGCATTCTTAGTATGCTTTAGGATCTTTCTGTTCATTGGTTCATTATTCATCTTCCTGATTTTGTTTGCAGGAAAAGGAGGCTCATTTAGACATCATCATGGACAGGATGAGGCAAGATGCGACAGAGAAACAACTAAAAGACAGCTTAGAGAAAGCCTTAAGTATGCTGGGCAGAATAAAAGAGGCGTAAGTTTTCAAAGAAATTCTCTTTACAAGATTTTGCTTTTATGATCACTTACATTATATGCACATGTATTTATTTTAAACTAAATATTTCATGTACCTCTTAGTCATACAAACATTTTTGATTAGGCCAAAATAAAATTGTTGTTTGTTTGGAATTGCCTCCCGCCTCATTGAAATGCCCCCCTCCTGAAAAAATTTTATTGTCCAAAAGAAGGAAGATTTTTTTTTTATTTAATCAATTATTCTACCCATTATCACATGCACCATACAAAACACTGAAATGTAGTGTCAGATCTATGCAAAATTATGTTTCTTTGTTGATGGTAGATACTTTTTTTTTTAGTCAGAAAATGTATTTACCGGTACTGTTTACTGATATTTTTATCAAAAATTAAAAAAAAAAATAATTTCTCTCCCTCCCTGTGTCTGAAACCCTTCGGGCAGCAATTCCAAACAAACGTTTTTTTTAAGGATGGCCTTGTCATTTCTAAAATTTATTGATTACAAAGTGTTCATTAAATTTTGGTGATTTTCCACAGGTATGAGATTTTTCACAATGAGCAGATGGACATTGTTAAGAATTGAAGCAAGACAGGTTGAAGTCCTTACTCAACTTTAGGGAATCTCATCAAAATAAGCGTACGAGGTATAAGAAGCGGACATTGAAAAATAATGACGTAGGACATCATGAAACTAAGCAGCGATGGCGCCGGGTGATCATATAATGTCGTTTTTATTTTATAATAATTTGGGAAATCACGAATGTATCAGGCTAAAATTTTCAACATTTCTTTATTTTTTGTTGTTTTATGTTCCGTATAAATTTTGTAAGCTCAGATTAAATAGTACTTATTTTATAGCCTCAGTCCACAAACTTTTTGATAACCCCTCGTACATCATCGTCTCAAGCCATGGTCCGGAGTCCGCATATAGCTCTCTCCTCCCGTGGCTGCTTGATCACAAAAAGTGTCGTAATCTTGAATGTTTACGCCTCTTTATTGTGACGTCATATTCAGTCAGTGGCAAGTTTTGTTTCCATCGCAATTGAAATCAACAACTGACGTCAACAGTATACAAGAAATATTTCCTTTACTGCGATTGGATATTGAAAGGTCGCGATAAAGTTCATCTTCCGACTATGCTTTACTCGCATTGGTCAAAATTTTAATGAGCTACGAAGAATTCTCTTCTCGTTCAACCACAGCCAGAATGGGAGAGGATCGTACATTTTGGCCGTGGTTTGCGACGATGCTCGTACATGTACTAACAAAATACTCTGAAACCATTTCACTGAAAATCAAAATCTGCATTGAATTAAAATTCAGGGAGTAAAAACACTTTGGGGTAAAAAATTATTGGGAGATCTGCTTAGAGTTCTTATATCCTTTTAAAAAATATCTAAGGGCAGTAAAATTTGATATATAAATTTAAAAATTAAAATTAATACACTTACAATTGGCTGATTCCTTCCAACCTCAAAGAATTTACACACACCCTCATCATAACTCTTTAGTTCAGATCTCACCATCATAGGGTAATTCTTAACAATGTCCATCTGCTCATTGTGAAAAATCTCATACCTGTGCAAGGGCACCAAAATTTAATGAACAATTTGTAATCAATAAATTTTAGAAATGACAATCAAAAATGTTTGTAAGACTAAGAGATACATGAAATATTTCGTTCAAAAGAAATACATGTAATGTAAGTGATTATAAAAGCAAAATCTTGTAAAGAGAATTTCTTTGAAAACTTACGCCTCTTTTATTCTGCCCAGCATACTTAGGGCTTTCTCTAAGCTGTCTTTTAGTTGCTTCTCTGTCGCATCTTGCCTCATCCTGTCCATGATGATGTCTAAATGAGCCTCCTTTTCCTGCAAAAAAAATCAGGTAGATGAATAATGAACCAATGAACAGAAAGATCCTAAAGCATACTAAGAATGCTCACATCTATAATCTTGACCTCATCACTATATGTATTACCATTGATGGAATGAGCTACTCAATGTATTTTGATAATGAAAAATGCAAAAATAATTTTAAAGCAAAAGTCATTATGATTCTAATAATTATATTTTTTTTTTATTTATTAACTAAAACCACAAATTTCACTAGAAAAATTAGTCACTTCAAATGCAGTTCAGAGACCTTGGCCACTCTAGATAAAAACAACATAGATGTTCATGAGGTTGAGTAGCTGATCAGAACACAGGAATAAAGCAATAAATCCATTTTTATTCTTTAACAAAGATAATGCTGCAAAAGTATAGAGAGATTCAAGTTGTCCTTTAATGACAATGACCTTGTACTATATAATCTTGGTTGGCCAGGCTGATGAAGATGAAAAGAGAAGGTATTTTTGTCAGCATCTATCTCTTGTTTTTTTTTTATTGGTACAGCAAAACTCGGTTATAACGAAGTTGTTGGGACCTATGAAATTACTTCGCTATATCAGTAATTCGTTATATCCGTATAAGAAATTCATTAAATTTATACAGCTGGGGATCCAAAATTACTTCGCTATATCTGTGAATTCGGAATATCCATGTTTGTACTAAAAACACAGTTTTACTGGATCTATTATAAACTTGTATTTGGACCTTTGCAAAACTTTGTCAATAACATTTCTGTTCTTTACTTCAATTGATACCACATTACCTGGTTTTGGTTGTCATGCATCTGCCGACATTGTTCCAGTTTTTCCTGCAATGCTCTCTCCTGTTTTGCAAGTCCAATCTCATGAACATCCCAAACATGGGCAGCTCCTTGAGCAAACTTAAACAGCATCTTAAGTCTCTCTGTTGTCTCCTTCATGTACTTCTCTAGGTCTTTCTACAAAACAAAAATGGACATGAGATCTTCTATTCTGAATTTACAAACTTTCTCTACAATGTCAAAATTAGCATGTTGCATGACCCTTAGAATGGCTTCTGATGTAGTTCTTTGGAATTTATGTGACAACAAAATATCACATGTTCATTATTGGTAAGTCAGTTCTTATTTCTGTAATTTGGATAAAAAAATTAAAATAAAGGTGCTATCTTTCTATTTCACAATTCAACTGCTTTATAATGTCTAAGTACATATGCACTAACCTCCATTGTTTCTAAGTTGTTCTCAAACACCCTCTGTCTCTCTCCCACCAGGGGGAGCATGTTCTGATCCACTACCTGCTGGGCTCGGGGAGGGGCACAAATCCCGTCATCAATCAGAGATTTCTATTAAATCAAAATACCGGTAAACTTGTCATCATAAGTGTTCCTGTGTTACATACATGTAGTTCATGTTAAGACTCTTGTATCTTCCTCAAAGAATGTGACAAAGTGAATTGAAGTCTACTAAGCATCTCAAAGCTTACCTTAATGAATTCTATTTTCTCCAAACAATCCTGACAAACTTTCTCATACTCAGCATGAATTTTGGACAAATGCAGCTGGTTCACAGAATCTGTTAAAAGAAATGCTTATGTAAAATTTTGATTTCACTGAAAGTATCACTGTATGTGGTCTTCCTAAGATAGTGCATTAAATTTGTTTATATCTATGATCACTTCAATGAAAATTAAATTTTGATTTTGATGAAGTTGACAACTTGACACTGACCTATTTCCTTGGTGAGATTTTTTATTGTTTTATCCCACTGGTAAACAGCTGTTTTTGTGGAGGCTGGGGGCTTTAGATCACTGAAATATGAAATAAATCATTAATACATGTACCATGGAAATTAAAGATTTTTTTTATGTTCTTCATGAAATTTTTATTATTATGAAATTGCATGGCCATACCATAGCTGTGTGATAACTTCTAATCTTCTCTTATTGATCAGTTCTTGTTCAGCTATCATAAAGTTGAAGACTTTTGTCACTCCTGGAGGGGTGATAATCTTTTCTTCTTGCATAAAGTTACTACAAAAGAGAAAAATATAATAGTAATAGGAGCAAACTAAAAGTAAAGTTTATCACTGAAGTAATACATTACGAGAATAATTTATTAAACAATGAAACCTGTCTAATCCGACATGCCTTGGGAGACGAATTTTGTATCGGAATAGACAGTGTGACGGATTGCAAAGTGTTAAATAATATTAAAATTAGTAAAATGGGAAAGAAATTTTAGGTCGGAATTCACAGTGTGTGGAATTGCACAGGTGTTGGATTAGACAGTTTTCACTGTATTTATTTCTGTCACAGAAGTAAAACATCCCATTCTGGCTGTGGTTGAATGATAAAAGAATATTTTGTAGCTCATTAAAATATTGACCAATTTGAGTAAATCATAGTCGGAAAATAAACTCTGATGCGACCTTTCAATATGTAATTGCTGCTTACAAAATATGTTTTGCTTACTGATGATGTCAATGTTGATTTCAATTGCAATGGAAACAAATGTTGTCATTGGCTGAACATGACACCATGGCATAGAAGCGTAAATATTCAAGATTAAGATTAGAAAATTTATGTGATCAAGCAGCCATGGGTAGGAGAGAGCTATATGCAGACTCCGAACCATTACTTGACATGATGGAAACAAGAGAGCCTGATTTTTTTTATTGTGACAAATCAATTTGATGCATTTGTTCAGATCGTATAACAGTTGGACAAGGTGATTTCAAAATACCCCAAACTGTCTTAGTTGGGGGAGAAGGATAGGAAATATAACATTAGCTACCTGAAGTGCTCGATGGCTAGATCTGTGTTGAGCTGTCTCCAGTCCTCCACGCGTCGCTTCCAGATTGTGTACTGAGCCTTCTCTCTCTCTATATCTGCTGACATTAATCTGACGTACAGGTCAGAATATGCTCTCCTATTACTCAACATTGTCTGGTTCACAAGCTACAATATATATTCAGAAACATTATTTCCAGGTTGAATTCCTCAAATAATTCATACTAGCTACAGGCCTTTCCTCATACAGATGCTTTTAACATATGTGAAATTATATTCAAAATCTGGATACTTTGACGTAACAATTTTAAAAGAAGTTTTCAAAAATACTTCTAAATATCTTATATCATTTCAAATTCAATTAAAGCTATGACAACTTTAACATTTAGCTACTAAATACAAGACAGATTTAAACCTGAGACTCCTGGTCAAGAAATCGGCTGAGATCTGGAGGCATTAAGTGGGCAATCTTTTCCAAGGTTTTGGCATATGACTTGAATACATTTCTCATCTAAAAATAAAAAGAAATCTGTGCATTCACGTAAAACTGACACTTCATGCAAGTAATGATGATACTGACAATAAAGTTTTTTAGATCAGTTTTAACTTTTTGAGTTATTCATAACAACATACCAAATCTATGCGGTCATCTTCCACTTTAGACAACTGTTGGTCCAGCTCATTGATCCAATTCTGTCTCTCTGCTGAGTGACCTTGAATCTCATCCCAGAGTTTGTGTAGTTCCTCCAGATTGTATGTTAAGAGATCCTAGCAACAGAAATATTTCAATGTAATTTATAATGTATTTGGAAACTACATTAATTTTGTGAAAAATTAAAATATTTCACTGTAAAATGCCAACCCTCATACCTCATCTCTCTCTATTCTGGCCAATAAATGGTCAATTTCTTTGTCATCATCTTCTAGTTTTCTTAATAAGGTTTCACTATATTCTGTGATTACTGGTTCCAATTCCTACAGAAAGAAGCAAGAAGCCATTAAAATAGCAAATACTAGTAATTTAATCTGTTTACATTTTTTTTTTCTTCCTAAAGATTCAACTTTTAAAAATTATATTTGAATTCTATAAATGGAAGTACATAACTTAAACAATGTTATTTTCTTAAATATCATATAATACTTTTTTAAATAACTAGTTAAATTTCTTTGCTATGATCTTTTTCCTGCCTTAATAATTTTAACACAAACACGTTATTTTTCCAACATACTTTTAAAATAAATAAAAGATAACTTGTATATAATTTTGTGTCAACTTCCCTAACTTTTACCCCGTGCACAAAATTTTGTAACTTCAATGCACCAAGACAAAAACAAATGTTTGACTAAATTTAAACCTTGCTCAATGCAGGAAAAGTGTTCAAAAGACCTTGTTAAATTTTCAAGATTTTTTTTTAATATTGATAAAAATTTAAAGAATATACACCATGTGGATAAAACCACATAATAAGGAGTAAATGCTGTTTTCATCTCTTTCATAGTGGATCACCTCCTCAATTCAATACATATTCTCCAATTTTGGAGTACAATACACAAACAGATCAGCTAGATTTTATTTTCTTCATTTAACTTACTTATGTAAAACAGGGTTTTCAACATGGAATCCCAAAATCCAATGCAAATTTTGTCTCTCTGTTAAACACAAAATTTCCTTTGAAATCAATGTCCAAGTAGGATATAAAAATAACTTAAATAAGTTATTTTTTTTTTAAATTGTGTGTGTAAAAAATAAATTTAAAATAAATTTTTTTATTTTTTTTAAACTTGTTTCTTTTTAATGTAAAAAGTTCCATGGAAAACTTTCATACTAATGTTCTTTTCTTGTATTTCATATAATACTGTTGTAAATAACTATTGAAATTTCACTTACAGAATTGATCAAGCTAAGTTCCTGGTGAAGATCTTCAACACAAGACTCATGTCTAAAAAAATTTAACATACTTTTAAAATCAACATCTAAAAGATAAAACTGTATTACACATGTATCATTTTGTTAAAAGAAAACATGTATAATCGCTTTGTCGTTGTTGACATTTCCACGCTGAAACCACACATAGTAAAATCTCTGAAAAGATCACAAGTTAAAATGCGTGAAAAGCAATTATATGATCTATATTTATATTTTTTAATCAAACTTTCATAAGGAAATGACAAAATTTCTGTAACTTCAATACCTATTCTTCCTGCTAGCTGCTATTCTTTCAATAATATTTGATCCCTCTTTAGCAGGCACTAAAAATCAACAAACCTTGTTATTATTTTCAAAAAAGATTGGAGAAATATTAGGAATAAGATTTAAAGAGAAGATGTTTTTTTTTTCTTTGGATCCAGATCTGCTGACTTACCGACAACATCTGGCAGCCCCTGGACCTCTTTTCCTGCTTTACTTGATTCACTCTCTTTCATTGTGGATCTCACAAATTCAGAATATTGTCTGTAATTCAATACATATTTTATCAATTTTGAAATGTCAAATATCTAGCTGAAAAAAAGCATAAGCTTATAAAACAAATGCAGTTGAGCTGAATATTCTTTTCTTTATTTAACTTACTTATGTAAAACGGGGTTTTCAACATAAGGGTCATTTGGAAATCCATCAGCCCAGGTCCTTTGTCTCTCTGTTAAGAGTCCATGAGCCACATCCTCCTTTGTCAGTTTGACGACAGGTATGGCTGTGCTCTGTCTCTCTGTGGGTTCATCTTCAAGGGTGGCAGTAACAGCTTCTCTACTTTTCATTTTTGTTAGACTTCTTTGGAGTTGTACCTTTCAAAAATAAATTTGGACTGGATGAGTTTTATTTTATAATTTTTTTAACATGCATTTCTTTTTACCACGTTTAATGTAAAAAGTTCCACATAAAACTTTTAGTAAAATAAAAGTTTTTAACGATTTGTGACCAAACAGTAATTTCTTGAATGAATTTCATTTATGAAATTATAAAGAAGATCAGTAATTGAATGCAATGTATAAATGTCATCATACTTTGGCATGCTCGCCACACAAATGGCGTACATAACTGAAAATTAAGGAACAAGTATCTTCTAATTTGGTATTTGCGACTGTTAATGCTAATTCAATGGTCACAAACTGAATTTTACTGGCCACAAATAAGCGGAGCCGGTAAAATGGATGTTTGCAATTGTTTAATCAGCATTAACATTGGCAAATATTAAATTAGATGATAGTTATTCCCATTCTAATGCAATCTATGCATTTTGTTTGATGTTTATGTTTTATTTTGTTGAGTTTTGTTACATGAAATACGTCACGAAGCATTGTGTTTTTGCGTCGCTCTATTATGATGTCACAATTAAAAGCTTTCACTCTCGTAAATGCTCGTTTTACTGCTTCAAACATCAGTGCATTATCTAATCAAAATATATTTTACAAAACAATTGCATTAGAATACAATATCTTTTGCTGAAAAGTGTGCAAAGTGGCATTTTTTTCAATGATGTGCAATCTAAAAAGTTTACTCACATTATAGGAAATTGTATACATGTATAACTATGATGACCACAGTTATATTTGCAATTCTTTGTAAATTTCTTATAAAATGCATTTATGAAGAACTGAACTTGAATAGGATCATCAAGCTCTATTTGACTAGCATATATACAGGCAGTAATATACAGCTGATATAGTCTGTGGCCAATTCAAGCTGTACTATAGCTAAATCAAGATTGTGCTGGACCTGTTGAATGCACCACAAGCAAAAGTGGTTACTAACCCTCCTCTAAAATACCAGTCCTCTGATCTGATTTAAATATCGTTTATGGCAGTCAGCCGGGTTCAATCGCCGGTGGCCAGATAGCTCAGTTGGTAGAGCACCTGAAAGTTTTTAACACATAAAGCAACTGGGGCCCAAGTTTCTCCCGGATAATTGATCAATGTATAAATGTCATCTGCATTTTCTCCTCTCCCATTACACGTTTAATATATTTACAATGGAAAATCTGGGGTTGATAAATGGTAGTTGTTTATGGACAAATTGCTTCAATGAATAAGGTCATTTTGTGTATTGTTTATTCTAATTAGACATGTTTCACTTATTGTTTCACTTCTTTTCAACTGTCACATTTAAAAAATTTACCTGGGCATCAAACATCTGTCTGTATATCTTGCCACTGGGTACAACCCGCATTGATGCTGTTTCCGCCATGATTTATTTGCACCTTTTCTTTAGTGTTTAACCTGTCCAAAATGTATTTCGCGAATAAGACTATCACAGATTCGTGTGAACCTTTCTTCTGTGTGTCTCTGCCTTAAGCAAGACACTTTTAAATATTTAGTTTACCATAATGATGTACGAATTTGGTTTACATTTGGAGAACTTGTCATAATATGACGCCATATTTAAACAATCTCCAAGAGCAACGTTTTGTTTAGAAATCGATTATCACAAAACGAAATACATGAATAATAAGATTTTTAAAATTGATAACAAATAAATTTACATAATACAATTTTTTTTTTTAAAAATATGAAGGTTAAGTAATCTAAAATATTTTCAAAGAACTTCTAGGTGTATTTTCGTTTTAATAAAATTAAATCTTTAACATTACCCGCTAAAATGGCTGCTTTCAATTTGACCAGTTTGTTGGAAAGTTTACCAAATTCGACTGACTGGGAGCAATCTCTAACAGATTTGAAGACATTGTTGACGTCTTTATCACCAAGTGAGTTGAGGAATGTTACACAGAATATTTCGTACCATGCCATCTTCGATTTATTGAACACAGACAATAAGTAAGTGTCGTCCTCCATGATTCAGCAACTTTCACTTTCTCAAAATTAATGTGTATTGCAGCATTGTTGCGTAGATATGATTATTTTCCAGTAAAAACTAATTATTTGCATTAAAAGTGGAATTTAAAAAATCAAAATCATTGAAATGTGACTTATCTATGTTGACCTGCAATAAAATACTCAATTCAATTTTTTCAATTTTCTTTATTGATTCACCAAACATGTTGGCATACAACCATGTTACATATAAAAGACAAGTAATAAAATACATACATGCAAGTGTATGGATCAGTGAAGTCAACTATGCAGAGTATAACAACTTGAAGATTAAACATAATCATTGTGTCAAGCAGTATAATATGGACAGTGATGAGCTAATATATGCATTAAACATATATATTATAATTGTGCTTTATTTTTGGAACGCAATTCAAAACATTCATATAAAAATTCACACAGCCTTCTAGAATGAACTGCATTGTCAGGATTACATAATACTTTACAATGATTTTCTTTCAATATGTTATCATTTAAATAATACATTTTGTTCAAAAATAGTACTTTTTAATCTTAAATCTATATATAAGGGACAGTCATATATGAAATGTATTTCACTTTCTACAATAGTTTTACAATAGTGACAAAAACGCGATTCTTTTGGGATACAAGGCTTTGAATATCTGCCTACTTCAATTTCCAAGGGATTTGCAGAAATTCTCAGTTTTGTTAATTTAGAACGTATAGCTTTATTTATTGGATATTTTAAGTAGTCTTGTAATTCATAATTCTTTCTAATTTGACTGAAAAATAATAATTTACCACATTTGGAGAATTCAATGTTCTGGAGTTGCAAATTAACATTTTTTATGTAAAAATTTTCAAGTAGGTGCTGAATGTGTTTCAGTTATATCTAATGTGGAAGATTAAAAAATCTTTTTTAATTTTTCAAATGTGACTTTGCCATATGATGTATCCTTTACACCATTACTATATAAGTTGTCATCTTCTAAGGAAGCAGCAATAAGAAATTTCTAGTGCTATGGTTATTCTTAAATTTTTTAGTTCTTATAGTATTTAAACATTGAGATGATAGCTTATTGCAACAAATAGGGACGTGTATCGTTAAAATCATATTTAATGGCTAAATTTGAAGCTTTTCTCTGTACACCCAAAATATCTTTAAATATCAAATGCTGTAACTTTTCAATAAGGTAGTTGATCACAATTGTTTATATTAATACCGAGTCTGAAATCCAATTCGTATACAAAAAGTCAACTTGTACAATAAAAAGTGAAGTATATAAAACAGATTTAAAACATTTCATACAGATAAGTTTTCCTATGAAAAGGTAATATTTGCCACAGTTTAAAAAAATTGCAACTACACAAAGTGTTTTCTTACATTTTTAACTAGTTTATGCAGCTGATTTTCCATATACCATTATAAGCGATGCGATGCCCAGATATTTATATTCATGTTCAAGATTTTTTCTATTAAATGTAATTATAATAAATAATTCAATATTGAAATTTCAATTTTTTATTTGTTAAAATATTGCTTTAGTTTTATCAGAGTTAACAGTCAATTTTGATTTTAGGCATATATCTTCCTGAGCAGAAGTCTTCATTAGTCTTTGCCGAGAATTCTTTTGTAGTAGAGGGAAATTAAATCATCTAAAGAAAAATGTACAACTTCAATATTTTGTAACAGTGAGGACTTGTGTTATAATTAATTAAATGTGAAGAAATGCTATATATAAATATATTAAAAAGATAAACAGAATACACCCTTGAGATACGGAAGCTATAAAATGTTCACTATAGTAAGATTCATCTTTACAACAATATTTAGTATTTGAACATATTATTTATAATATGTCTTTGACCTTGCCCTTTTGGTATAGTTTGTGTAACATTAAAATCATGTATCAAAGGCTTTAAAAATCTTACAAAACATGCATAAATGTTTTGTTTCTCCAACATTATTTGTATAAAATTTTTAAATCATAATATATGTATATAAATGTTGTGTACGAGGTTTCTTCTGGAAAAATTGATAATTACTCAGTAGGTCACTTTGTTTCCATTATTTGTATAAATTAAATCATAACGATTGTAATAAGTCCATTAAAGAGTTTTTGTGTACAGCTTGTACACTTAATCCTGTATAGTTGTGTTACATGGGTGTACTAATTTATAAACCTAACTCAGTGCATTTGAACAATCAAAGTTCCAATGTAAACATGGCAGGTATTTTCCCGAGAGAAAAATTTTATTAATTGGATTTGTCATATATTAGGTGGATTATTTTCTGTGATAAAAGGCATAAGCAATCTCAAAAGGGTTTGTTTTGATTAATTTGGTAGTTATTTCCAGTGCAAATCCTTTTATATTCTTCAAAATCGTTTGCAATGGTATAGCCGTATCAATTTTTTAGAATTTTATGCCCCCCCCCCCCCTCCATAAAATGGAGAGGGCTACCTTATTGCAGCTATACAGATCCAAGCATTGTACATGTAATAACCTTTGATTTATGCCACCGTTTTTTGGTCGCTCACTTTCCATGGCTATAATTTCTTTTTGGGTATTATTTCTTCTTATGTTCATTATGATTTTCATGTTGCCCCATACTTTGGCAATAAAGGTACAGATCAAAATTGTCCGATAATGTTTGAAGACTTAAAATATTTACATATATTAATTTACAAAGGACAATTAGGAAGAAAAATTAGCATTAGGCCGAAAATGAAGAAAACTCTAGTTATTGTGGTGGTCATCCTGGTTTGATTGCTGGTGGCCAGATAGCTCAGTTGGTAGAGCACCTGACCAGAGTTTCAGAGGGCCCGGGTTCGAATCTTGGTGTGGTCCATTACATTTGGTGCTGTGCCATGCCCTGGAACTGACAGGTGAGAGGCCTGCCAGGGGTGAGCCTGTGTTGGGGTCTTTGGAGGGCCAAAGCCCTTCAAGGAGGGAGGAATGTGGCGGTCAGATTGGGTTCGATCGCCAGTGACCAGATAGCTCAGTTGGTAGAGCATCTGACCGGAGTTTCAGGGGACCGGGGTTCGAATCCCGGTCTTGTCCACTGCATTTTCTCCTCTCCCGTTACATTATTTTCTAAAGGTATTTAGAAAACCACATGATGGTACATATATTTATATTCACTCTGTTTTTTACATGTATGTAAAATTATATATATTACCGTATAAGTGGAAATTTTAGCGAGACGCAAATTTAGCGATTTCTACCTAAAATCTGGTGTTTTATTTTTAGCATGTAATTTTATTTTATTAACTTAAGACTATTACAAATAATACGTTTTTTTACATGTTTAATTTTAGTAAAATTATATATATTATGAATTTCAGAGAAGTGCTTGAGCTTTGTTGCAATGTCCTTGAGAAGCTTCTTGATGCATCAGGACCAGCTGTGGTATTTCAGAACTACAGGGAAGAAATACTGAAAGGACTTAGTCATCAGCAAGTCATGGTCAAATGTCTTTGTTTAAAACAGGTGAATCATCCCAATTTCCTAAGAATCCTTTGATTTTCTGCTCTTTATTAGCTGAAAGAAAACTTGGTTATTTCAAAATAATTACAGATGTCATGCAGGAGTCATGTTATGACAATATTCACTTTGTCCTGATAAAATATCATAATATCTGATCCAACATAATACCAGTACATAGTAAAATCCCTAAAACTATTTTTGTGTCCTTCATGTGTACATATTATTTGAAATCAAGCCCTAGATTATGATAAAATCAGATGTTTAAAAGTTAAGCTCAATATGAAGCATGTCAATTATCGGTATACTTTTAATGTTGTAGATGTTGAGTGCCTCTGAAGAAGTGGTTGATGAATTGTTGCCTCACAAGGAAGTGCTTCAGAAAACTGTCAGTTTGATTTCAGATGACCTCCAAGTGGCAAACATTGCTACCAAAGTTCTTATCAATTTAGGTACAGATTCATAACATATGCTTTATAAATATGTCTTTGAGAGTTACTTTTGTTATTTTGATGTAGTTTTTAAAATTTATCCATTGTTTCATGGTACATGTATAATTCAGGCAGGACTCCTCAGGGACTAGCAGTTTTATTCAGTAACCAGATGATCCACACATTGGAGCAAGTTCTTAACACCAGTGACACTGTCAGATTCAGAGGATATGAGGTAAAATCTACAATGCTCATTTTACAAATATATTAAATAATGTTGAATTAGATTTTAAACCAGCTAAATATATACAATAAAGTATTAATTTAAGCAGGAAAGATAAGGAGAGGGGAGCTCAGCATGATGAATTGAAATAACAGTTTAACTTTTAAGTTTTTACATAATTTTCAGATGTTGATCCAAGTGTGTAAGCTGTCCTTGGCTGCTCTAGAGAACACGCACAACAGTGGTCTTCTTCAGCAGCTGTTAAATGAGGTCCATAAGGATGACATTCTTGTTCAGCTGAATGCTATAGAAATGTTGTCTGATCTTACTATGGTTGAACATGGACTGGTGTACCTAGATCAGCAAGGCATTGTGGGCAAATTAGAGAGCATGATGGGAGAATTAGAACATAATCCATTTGGCAACTTGCTATTACCAGGTAGGATATTGAAGGGTTCAATTCTTTGTTAGCTATAAATGAATGTTGCAATTTTATTAAGAAATGCTTCAACATTGAGGTTTATTGGTAAATTTCAAAAATTTTAAGTACTAGTAGGTTCTTTTGTTCATGTTATATTAACTTTTGATAATTTTTTGTTAACATTTATCTTCTTTGAGGATTGACAAAGTTCTTTGGAGGAGTGGCCAGATTCCACCCTAAGGAAGTGTGTAGCAGTAATAAGACGTTTGTAAACTCCGTGTTCGAGGGTTTATCATCTGGGGATAACACAGATAATCCACTTGGTTTTATGAATCTGTAGGGGAAGATGGCACTCGAGAAAAATATCAATCAAAATCAAAATGTCTAAGGTCATTTTTCTTAGAGGTTTCATCAAAATTTAAATTTTTTAAGGTTTATTAGGTGAATATCAAAGTTCTTTGGAGTGCAATCCCACCCTTTTTGACAGAGTTATGCCCCTTGGACTTAGAAAAATTCCACTTATTTGCAGTTTCTGTTCATTTTCTTTGTAGAGGTTGCACATATTGAAATGAAATTTAGTATACAGATTTTTCAGCTGAATATCTAAGTCAGGTTCTGTTTTGGGATCAGACACAGAAGAGCATCTCCCTGTTCCACTTACTGTTTTACAGTTTTATTTTCTTTGCAGAGGTTGCACATATTGAAATTAAATTTATTGTACAGATTTTTTAGCTGAATATCTACATGTAGGTCACATTCTGGTTTGTAGGATTTGTTGTATGTTTAAGTGCATTATTTCAATCATATGCTAATATATATTTGAACATTCTTATTATTATTTTAGCTTATATGTTACATGGTGTTAATTATCTGTTGTTATTTTAGGCAATAGGATGATACATGGTGTTAAATGTATAGGATCCATGGTGAGAGATGCTCCATCAGATCTACGCATTAAAGCATTGGAAACTGTGTGCAGCATAACAAAACTTCAGGTTAACTTTACTCATTTCATACATTTCAATATAATCTTCAAGATTTTTAATATGTGTATATTTGTGTGGTTATGGATTCAATAGTGAATCTTGTTGCAAGAGATTGTTCAATTCTTTTTAAATAAAACTAAACAGTTTCGTAAGATTTATGACTTGAATTTTATTTTCCTATAGTGGAAAAATAACCTAGAAAAGAAATTAATATGGAATAACTTTAACCTAAATAAACGATTTTGTAGATTGCAGAACAAACAGATGAATTACTCAAACTTACAGAGAAGTGGTTTGATTTACTGAGTAACAATCCATTTGAGATGTTAATGTCGCTAGTGAGACAACCCTTTCCAGACCTAAGGTGCTCTGCCCACTGTGCTTTACAATCACTCGCCTTACAACCCTGGGGACAGACTCACATGAACAATTATCCAGGGTTTACAGAATTTTTGTTGGACAGAACTACAGAAAAAACTAAAGAAACAAAAGAGTCAAAGTTCTCCATCCTAAAAACACTAGCTGAGTCACCCACCGCAGTTGATGTGTTTGGACAGCCATATATTGTTCAGGTCAAGGCCATGGTCCTACAAGGCCCTTTCTTTGTTCAGACACAGTCAGAAGTGGCTTTCGAGGGAGAATAATTAATAAAGTAATTTACATCTTTTCCATAGTTGTCTCTATCAAATGAATCATGTTAAGAATCTACATGTATTTATACTTTATCAATAAATGATATGAAGAATCTTGTGAAGTTTTGTGAAATAGTATACCTTATGAAAAAGCTGATTACTCAGAGATACCAGGTACATTTGTATATCAAATCTTCCAAGTCTTTTTGGGGACCAACAGTGTGTTGTCAATTTTAGCTTCTTTTATTGTCTACCTTGCTTCATCCTTCGGTGGCAAATTCTTGAACATTTTCAGGGACTTAAAAGTAACTGAACAAGTTTTCCTTGTATGTGTAAAAAGCATCTCAAGCTTAAGGAGTACAAAATTGAGTTTTGTTGTTTCTGATTCTCTAAAATGCTTGAAAACATCAAAATTCTTAAATCTGCCATAATATTCTTCTTTATGCTTGCACACGATGAAGTCAAACTAAATGATCCTCAATGAAAATTGTAAAACTCATATTAAATTTCGGGGTTAGGCCAGCAAGCAATATATTGAAAGTGTTTTATTGTATATTTTTACACCAGATTACTTAGCAGGCACACCATTTGCATTTGATATAGGGGATAAACATGAGATGTATTAAAGATTGTACCTTCATTTAATTATGCATATACATTTGAATTAAAATATACTAGTGAATAAAACGTGTATTTCAATGCAGAAAGTTTTAAATAATTAGCAAAACACTAACCTTATTACCAATACATTTATATTTATTTAGGTTGCATAGCATTGAGTTGAAGTTAATTATTTTGCTTTATCTACGTAAATAACTAACAATATGTTCCAACTCAACCTTTTATGACTGAGCTTAAGCTGGTCAACATTAAATAAAGTTTGTGTATATTTTGGAATTAATATTTTTATGATAAGCAACCTTTATAATTCATCCTCAGCATCAAAGACCAAAGATGCACATTAATTCTTACTCTGGTCTGGTGCTGGGTTAGGAATACAAGTATATATTCATGTAATTGTCCAATCTGGAGTTTGGAGAAAGAATGAACACAAATGTTAGTCACAGTCAAACTGCTTTGCCAAAGATGACCATGACCTCACATCATTTTCTGGTTCCCCCTCTGATGGAGCCTTAAACTGGTCTTCTTTTTCTGCCTTGTCAAGGTCCACTTCACTATCACTGTCATCCAGATGAGCCTTCCAGTAGTTAAACAACCTTAAGTTGAAGTACATGGATATCATCTTCTGACCTGAAAATATATCCCCAAAAATAAGTTTGAACAATTCAGACACTAACACACAATTTTTGTTTGTTCCCAGCACAGCAATTCTTGAGAAGAAATCTAAAGATTTTTCCATTTAATTCTTACGTAAACTATAAGCCCTATTTAGGGCCATCCTACGCGGAAGGGTGGGAGGGAGGTGATTTATCTAGGCTTTATCAGGAAGCTCAATTCGCTTAAGTTTCGTCTTTACTTACTACGCAATTCTTGGGAAGATTTTTTTTTTTGGCTATACAATCCCATGTAAAACTTTGATCTTTACAAATTACGAATTTTTGTTACATATTACACATCTGACAATATCTTACCCTTGTCCGATTGGTCGTCATTCGCTGAAATCCTGACCATGTTAGATTGGACAATTCGTTGGATAAATCGCACAACCTAGAAATAATGAAATGTTTTAAAAAGTCAATGCGATCGCTACATGTACCGGTATACGGGCCTATAACAAGCTATTCTAATTGCTTTATATCACAGAAATTTGCGATGTGCGATGTCGTTTAGCAAATACAAATAAACATGATGAATGCACAAACACATGTGTATGCCAATGATGAAAATTCTCCCTGGAAACCAGGAAAACAACATGGAGACATATTTCCTCAGTTCTAGAATTCTTTTGCTATTTATTGAATTTTTTTTGATAAAGTAGTATCACTATATGGGAAACTGTACTATCAATCACGAGAGAGAGAGAGACAGAGAGAGAGAGAGAGATTTTGCTTCATAGCAATCACAGTTCTTTTCTCTTTCATCTATTAAGTAAGTTTGCATTCGTCTTTGCGACTAAACCAATATTTATAATTGCGAAATAGGTGTCTCTGACATTCTATAGGTGTATTTAGTATTCGATAGGTGTCTGGGGCCCGTTTCATCAAAGGTCGTACGCCCAGTCGTAGCGCTACGCCGGTGTAAAGTCAGGACTAGCACGAAGAGTTGCGTTTCATTAAAGAGCGTATCGTTACACCTGACTAAATTTAGGGCAAAATTCTACGTCTTCTCATGGGTAGGCGTAAGTTCGGGCGTAAAGTTTAAATTAAGTAATTTAACTAATTTTAAAACAAACTAGTGCTAATTGTAACGGGGACCGCATATTCCCTGTAATCTCTATTAGATAAGAAATACTTTATGGAATTTAGACTTAATCAAGATCTTCCCAGAAAAATAGAAATTATATTTAAAAATAGGCATTGCACGCGTGTTCATGTGCGTAACGACCATATTATCTTGTCTACAATATCTCAAATTTTAATATACTTAATATTAAAGCATTTAATCCAAAAGTATTAAAAAATTCACTCATTCGAGTGTATTTTTAATTTTACTCATTTAACGTGCACGCACGTGGAAGCACGTGCATAATGACTACACCTTTTTGTAGAAGTCCCTTATATTTATCTATGTTCTAAATCCCATCCTGTTTGGTTGAAAAACAAGGGAGTTACAGCGATTTGAAGTTTCAGCCAATCAGATTACTGCACACATGCATGCGCGTGATTTCATAAATTTTTATCTTTATCGTATTGAAGAATATCTAAATGAATGACTATATTTTAAAATTCCAAACATTTCGTCAAAAAACAAAGGAGATATAGCCATATAAAGTTTCAGCCAATCAGATTGCAGCACACGTGCATGCGCGTGATTTCATGAATTTTTTCTATATCATATTTTAGGATATCTTAATGCATGACTATGTTTTAAATTTCAAAGCATTTCGTCAAAAAACAAAGGAGATATAGCCAATTAAAGTTTCAGCCAATCAGATTGCAGCACGAGCGCATGCGCATGCTTTCATGAAATTTTTTTATACATCATGCTGTAGATCTTCATAATGTAAGACTATGTCCAAAATTTCAAAAGATTATGACAAGAAACAAGAAAGATATTGAGACTTTAGTTTCAGCCAATCAGAGCGAGGCGCACGTGCATGCGCATGAGATCTTGCTATTTTGACCATGCCATCTTGTCTATACTACTAATGTATCCTTACATTATGAGTTTCAAAAAAATTCATCAAGAAAAAGAAAAGTTACAGCAATATCCATTATATTGGTCATTTCATGTGCTGCACGTGCGCGCTCTTGCAAGCACGTCCGCGCAAAATGACCTTTGTTCGGCAAATCTACATAACATGTCTACTGACCCTAAAAACATTTTACCTTAGTCGGATGTGTAGTTTACAAGATCACTCGTGGACAAAATTTTCCCAGGAAGAAGAAAAATAATAATAATAATAACTAGTGCTAATTGTAACGGGGACCGTTACAGATGTTCCCCAAACGCTCCCCAACTCCCTTTTGGTGCCATATTCCCTGTAATCTCTATTAAATGAGAAATACTGTATGAAATTTAGACTTAATCAAGGTCTTCCCAGAAAAATACAAAATATATCTAAAAATAGACATTGCAAGCGTGTTCATGTGCGTAACGACCATATTATCTTGTCTACAATATCTAAAATATTAATATACTTCATATCAAAGCATTTAATCCAAAAGTTTTAAAAAATACACCCATTCGAGTGTATTTTTAATTTTACTCATTTCACGTGCATGTACGTGCATAATGACTATACCTTCTTGTAGGAGTCCCTTATATTTATCTATGTTCTAAATCCCATCCTGTTTGGTTGAAAAAAAAGGGAGTTATAGCCATTTGAAGTTTCAGCCAATCAGATTGCAGCACACATGCATGCGCGTGATTTCATAAATTTTTATCTTTATCGTATTGAAGGATATTTAAATGAATGACTATATTTTAAAATTCCAACATTTCATCAAAAAACAAAGGAGATATAGCCATATAAAGATTCAGCCAATCAGATTGCAGCACACGTGCATGCGCGTGATTTCATGAATTTTTTTCTATATCATATTTTAGGATATCCTAATGCATGACTATGTTTTAAATTTCAAAGCATTTCGTCAAAAAACAAAGGAGATATAGCCATTTAAAGTTTCAGCCAATCAGATTGCAGCACGAGCGCATGCGCATGCTTTCATGAAAATTTTTATATATCATGCTGTAGATCTTCATAATGTTGGACTATGTTCAAAATTTCAAAAGATTATGACAAGAAACAAGAAAGATATTGAGACTTTAGTTTCAGCCAATCAGAGCGAAGCGCACGTGCATGCGCGTGAGATCTTGCTATTTTGACCATGCCATCTAGTCTATACTACTAATGTATCCTTATATTATGAGTTTCAAAAAAATTCATCAAAAAAAAAAGAAAAGTTACAGCAATATCCATTATATTGGTCATTTCATGTGTTGCACGTGCGCGCTCTTGCAAGCACGTGCGCGCAAAATGACCTTCGTTGGGCAAATCTACATAACATGTCTACTGACCCTAAAAACATTTTACCTTAGTCCAGATGTATAGTTTACAAGATCACTCGTGGACAAAATTTTCCCAGGAAGAAGAAAAATAATAATAATAATAATAATAATAATAATAATAATAAGAAACAGAGTAAAAACAATATGTTCCCCAACTTCGTTTGGGGAACATAATAAGAAACAGAGTAAAAACAATATGTTCCCCAACTTCGTTTGGGGAACATAATAAGCGAATTCTTAAGAAAAAGAACGGTTCTAAAAAGTCTTTTAAATCCAAACATTGTATTATTCAATTATACATACTATGAAGAGGCGGGGGGTGGGGGTTTACAACCACTTGGGGGCGTAGTTGATTGGAGTAATAACATACTTAATTAAATCTTCTCAGAAGAAAATTAAAGATTGTCTCAATAGAAATTTCTTCAACCACCATTTCTTACGTTTACACAAAGCATTCACACACATTTGATTATTGTATTGTATGTA